CCCCCCCAACTCCCCACCCCCCGCTGTCCCTCCCCTATTTCCCTCCAACAGACCCCAGTGTGTAGTGCTCCCCTCCCTGTGTCCATGTGTTCTCATTGTTCAACACCCATCTATGAGTGAGAACATGCAGTGTTTGAATGAATTAGTGCTTAGTTGGTGGTCTCACTAACAGCACGCAAAAGGAGAAAATGAAAAAGCCTTGACTGTGAAACAAGTATTAGAGCAAGGAAAGAAAGGAACACCTTAAAATTAGAGAAAATGTTACATTCATATATGAGTTTATGAAAGATTTTTGTTCTACTCTTGAAAAATCCAACAATCCTCTGTAATCTTTCCAGTTCAATCAAGAAATCATACAGGATCAAAAGGAACATCCTGAACTGGCACCCAAGATGGGGGAGGCTTGGTACTTTTCTTCATGAAAAGGAACTATTTCTGGCCCAGGCAGTTGAAGATGTTTAGAAAACTAGATTTCATGACACAAGAAGCAAGATAGCCCTAGAGATCACCGATGTTTTCAGAAATGCTCTGCAAGTCAGATAAAGGCTAATTGAGAAGACGACTCCATTGATAGGTGTGATTTAGCCATGACAAACACAGAAAACAAGTCAGTCAGAAGACAATGATTAAAGAACACTTCAGTTTGTAGTTACACTGAAGTAACTAAATATAAAAGATGAAATAACAAGTATAAAAACCACAAGTTCCATATACTATGAGTTGTATTCAAAGTCCAAGTTAATAATCACAATTTTTTAAAAGTACATAATTACAGATCCATCTCAGCTCCAGGGTTGAACTGCCTTTAAATACTTCATTCTTCAAATGATTGTGTTATACCTGATAAAGAAAGTAGTATTATATGTAGAAACATAAGATATATTGTTACAAAAAAAATTGGGCAGATAATTAAATTTATGTCTATATAAGGTAACAATTTAAAATTATTAGTCTAAGCTTATAATGATGACTATAATTTAAATCAGAAAAAGTATGAACATTGATTTCCTTATTTATCAGTATAAAGAATGGCATTACCACCAAAGAATCATGAAAAACACATTCAGAAGTACATTTTGGCCTAATTCAAATAAAACATTGAGTTCTGGAATGGTGTCGAGTAAGATACTAACGAGCTTATATGAGAGTAAATAAAGGTGATTCAACCGAAGATGTTATGTGCTGCTATTATTAACCCTACCTTTCCTGGCTTCAATCCTACAGTCTCCTTGAACTCTTTCTATTTCCTCTCTGTGTCTGTGACATCTCCACTGAAATAACCTACCTGGGTTTTACTTTTGCTCCTTTTTATTGCCTCTCCCATGCGCCTAGCCCACATTTTTAGGGCACTCAGGGGTCTCACAGCTGCCAGCAGCACCCCTCTAAGAGGGCATGGTTATCCCTGGGAGCCCGCTCCACTAAGAGAAAAAGGTTATCCCTGGGAACGCAGTATACCTGTGACACTCCCTCTGTCCTGTCATTAGCAAGCTTTGTCACTTACCTAGGAACAAAAAATTAGCCTCCTGGTTCTTTGCTATCACAGCTTGTTATTTTTATACATTGAACTGAGCAACAACTCCTTTGACAGTCACTACACTGAAGTTGTGGTGTTTGTATTTTTTAAATTTGAAGAGGCCTTCAGTGTTTCTTTGGCTGAACCCTAACCCAAAATGCAATCAACTGGGGCTAGGGCCACAGCTTGAAGGGACAGAGATTGCATGTTTCACACATGGAGGACATATGCTCAGCTGAATCGCCACCATCCATAAATGTTCCTTTCATGTCTCCTTGAAAATTTTGGTTTCACTGAGCATATATACCCCTTTCATTTTCAAAACTGAGGGCTGCAGATTTTTCTACAAAATCTTTAGAGGGAAACATCCCCACTGGCTCTTCCTCATGACAAACCTAAGACAGGGCCAGTGTCTTGGGTTTACACCAGTCCCCACATTGGCAAGCATTAGAGTCTCATGCTCAAAATAAGAGTGACTGTGCATTTTTGTAATCTGCTGAAGCTGCATATATATTGATTACTTTTAAAAAGGAAAACTCAAAAAGCTGTGAAATGAGCTCTGTATACAAGGAGACAAAGAGTTGACTATTTATGTTTCTCAAATTCATCAAACCTTTCAGATCAACTTTTTCTTGTGAAGGTTGGTCTTAGGGTCCTTAGTAGGCAATGGTTACTTTAGACAAAGTATCATCCCATTTCTAGAATGAAAGAAAAATGACTGTGCAAATATACAAACACCCCCGAATATAACTATTGGATACTAGGCTTAGTACCTGGCTGAGAAAATAATCTGTAAAACAAACTTCCATGACACGTGTTTACCTGTATAACAAACCTACACATGTACCCCGAAACTAAAATAAAAGATTTTAAACAGCCCCTAAAGCATGACCTTGGCTGAAAGAAGATGCGGTCTAATCAAGGTTTTGCTAGAAAAAGCCACCTCTAAAGAGATAGCAGATAAACCACCTGAGGCAATGAGGAAATTGGTGCTCCTCTTTCTTGGATATCAGTATAGGCATGGGTTTCTACTTGATGTACACATTCAGTACGGTTTCAGAAAACATGCCTTGGTATACTTAATTTATGTCTTATTTGCCTTCCGAACTAAAGCTATGGGTTGGAGATAAGCCAATTTCAGCTGTAGAAAACAGATTATTTGTTCCTCTCCTATACATTACCCAACTGTATTAATTGAAATAACCCCAGTCATTACACCCAGACTCTTGAAATGAACATTTACATGACAAGTGAGAGGGGGACTATAAAAATGAGTGATAATTTTCCTCTTTCCCCAACAGCTGGCTGCCAGGGCAGGTCATATTCGTGTCAGTCTTTCTCCATTTTGCATGGGGCTGGCACTGCATGTGGCAGTGTATGTGTTGGGCATGGCTCTTGGATCCTGGTTTGGTGTTACTAAATTCCCACAAAGGCCTTGTTTGGGAGAAATTGGAGGTGAAGAGCTTGCTCCCATTTGCCATTCAAATATGCAGATTACTAGCCAGGCACAGTGGCTCATGCCTTTAATCCTAACACTTTGGAAGGCTAAGGCGGGTGGATCACCTGAGGTTAGGAGTTCAAGATCAGCCTGGCTAACATGACGAAACCCCTTCTCTACTGAAAATACAAAACTTAGCTAGGCATGGTGGCATGCACCTGTAATCCCAGCTAATGAGGAGGCTGAGGCAGGAGAATCACTTGAATCCTGGGGGTGGAGGTTGCCATGAGCCAAGATCGCCCCACTGCACTCCAGCCTGGATGACAGAGCAAGACTTCATCTCAAAAAAAAAAAAAAAAATCAGATTGCAATACATCAGTTGCAATAACCAGAATATGTCCTGGGCTGTTTTTACCAGTTTTTTGTTTTGCTTTTATTGTGGAGAATAGGTCCCTGCTCCTGTAGTCCCATCCTCCTGGTTTTGCTACCTACTAAGTGTAAGACATGTGTTACTCTAAGACGTATATTAATTTACCACTAAGGTTGCTCATGAGTTTGATCAATTGCTTACCAAAAAAAGCTTACTGACACGAAAATACAAATAGTTTTTTGGGTTATGTTGTAAAGAGTACAAGGTTAAGTCATTTGTATAAAAGACTATCTATAAAATAAACTCAATATCTAAGTCTAAACTATATTCAGCTAGATTTGCACATTACCTTTTTTCAAGGCAAGAAAAGTATAATTATAATTATAATCTTTGAGAAAATACTAAGTTAGTGATCAAAATAATATGTGTGCATTTTATTTTGTAAGATGCAAATTACTAAAAAATAGATGCAACATTATCATTAAAACTATCATCATTGTTATCGATACATGATACCATATAGCACAGATGTACTTACAAATTCATTTTATATAAAAAGGGAGGGGGGAGTATTAATAATTCTAACATCCTTTCCAGCTCCAGGGCACAGTTGTAGAGTGGCGCCCTCACCTGTAGTTTCATCAAGTTTAATTTACAAGCATGTATTTATCAGTATTTAATAGTACATTTCTGTTTTTGTACTCTAACACAACATAAAGAATATATCGAAATGAATTCTAAAAAGAAATCTTTGTTAAAATTTTCATTATATACCTTCTGTACAATACTTTATGCCATCATATTCAAAACGTTTTAGTAAATTTTCCCACCCATATCCTTATTTACAATTTATAGTTACCTTACTGAATCTTAGATTATCATGATCACAGCAGCACTATGTATTCATATGCTTGTCTAAAATTTACAGTAAACATACAACATTCTGCAAACAATACCACTTTGCTTTCTGTGCCTTCCTGGTTGACATTGTTTCTATTTTTTCCTCTAAGAACTCCAGTGATCAGATTGCAATACAGTGCATGTCACATAAACAAACACAAACACAATCATCCTCAAAACGTGATTATGATCTTTTTGTAGTAGCAATATGTGTATAATTGTGAATTAAGAGATAAACATCTATAATTTTAGTTATATTACACAACATGGTAGAAATATTGATTTCTGCCTCTCTGAAAATGCATATTGCATGTCTGAGATTATAGTAAAATTATCATGTGCCTGGAAACATCCAAATGTTTATTATTTGAGGCTTTAAATTAAGATCAGCATTAAATCATGTGTTTCCAAGTTCCATCTAAAGATAATTTATTTTATTTCCCGCTAAAAATATTGCTTTTCTCACATAATCATTGTATTCCCTTGTTATCAACAAGACATCTAATAACAAAATTATACCACTTTTTTTTGTTTTAAAAAAATGCTTGGGGCCTGGCACAGTGGCTCATGCCTGTAATCTCAGCACTTTGGGAAGCCAAGGTGGGTGGATCACCTGAGGTTGAGGTCAGGAGTTTGAGACCAGTCTGACCAATATGGTGTAACCCTGTCTCTACTAAAAATACAAAATTACCAAGGCATGGTGGTGTGTGCCTGTAGTTCCAGCTGCTCAGGCGGCTGAGACAGGAGAATTGCTTGAACCTGGGAGGTGGAGGTGGCAGTAGTGAGCCAAGGTAATACCACTGCGCTTTTTAGCCTCATGACAGAGTGAGAGTCTGTCTAAAAAAAAAAATGCTTGGCTTTTAAGCTACGAAGCTATATTTTTCCTACTATGACTTTAGTTTTTAATTAGATTTTCTATCAACATTGTATATATCGTTTATCCATTCAAGTTTATAATCTATCTTGCTTTCTAAAGAATCACATACCTTTTTCTCCAAAAGTTGAGATTACCTATCGTTTGCATATAAAATTAAATAATTTAGATTTTTCGAAATAATATTTGAGACTAAAATACTGCTTGCCAATGCACCAAACAAAAATGATTACTTCTAAGATGGTATCGACTGGCAATGTGTGAATTGTCATCAAAAGCAGCCTGGTAGGGGAAAATTTCAGTTATGTCCCAAAATACTTAGAGAAACCCAGTAGGAAAAAAGAAAACAGTGGAAGTGATCCCCAAATCGTCATGATTGAGTTATTCTCTTAGAAAAGTTTCCAGAAAGTCTGTCTATAAAGGTGAAGGGTTTGGTCCTTTTATGTGGCTTCTAAGATGCCAGAGTAGCCTCACAGCTGTCTGTCGCAGCTTGCTGTTTCCCAGAATGAGAATAAATGAGTGACATGAGGGAAAGACATTTAAGGGTAACATGATGAACTTTAAGTACCTGTTATTCCATGATACAAAAACTATCCAGCTTGCCATTTGTGAGGAAAAAAAATGAAACATGAAGAGGAAAAGGAAAGACATCACCATTTTCATGGCTGTCCTGTGGGCCTCTGTGCTGGAGTCTCTAGGGCCCAAGGAGCTGAGCTTCATATTTCTAGTGTGTCTCACCAAGGACAGAAATAAGAAAAGCAATGAGGCCAGGCACAGAAAAAAGGGGATCAAACTGGCCAAGCTAAGAAGAATGTTTATCATAGAGAGTTTATCATAGAGAGTTTTATTTTCATCTAAATATAAAGTCAGATTACTTTCACCTGTTACATTCAGTGTGATATCAGTAAACATGTATACCAATAAACACTCAAAAATCAGTAAGAACAAAGACAGCGTAAGAAGCATAACAATCACTCTGTTCATTCTCCACCTCAGCCAGAGGAAAAGGGAGTGGGGGAAGTGGGCTATCTTAAAGAAATAGAAAACGCTTAGGCAGGTGGCAAGCCAGGTTGTCAAGTGATTAATCAGGTACAAAAGCATACCAGCAGGTTTTCCTATTCCATATGTGGTATATAAATATGGATTAAGTCCAATTAGACATGAATTAAACAGCATCACCAACAGTTGAACAATTGTGGAGCTAGCCAAGCAGGTGAGGATGAAGTCAGCTGAGAAGACCTTTAGCTTCTTGATCCCATCAGAGCAGTTTACCAGTCCAATGAACACATTCCCCAGCATGCCGATGATGAATTCCACTATTGTCACAATCAGAAAGATGTTATCCAATTCGGTGGCCATTTCCAGAGAAAACAAAATCCAAGTTAATAATACTTTGCATCACTAATAAACCTACAATCAAGCCATTGCAGAATAGCATTCGTTTCTGACACTTATCTTCACTGCTTTAATTTCACTTCCAGTCTTAATCAAAACCTTCTGCTGTTGGATACAGTCTCATATGCTTCAGTAAGTCTTTGCCTGTTTTTACTGTAATTCTGATCTTAATCCCAAAAGATCTATTAAGGAATGCAGTCTCACATACCTTCACTGAAGTGTTTTCATTTCTTTGAAAGAGCTACCGAATTCTAAACCAAACAGTTTCTGTGTCCATTTATCATTGGCATGGGCTGAAACTTTCCACTTGTGGTAATGATTAAAAGGTTAAAGTCAAGTATGTTAACAAGCAAATATAAGCCAGATTCCCCACTATCTCTGATTGGACATTTCTGCTCACCTGAAATAATACACCACTTGGATCCAAATATCTTTATTGTTTTTCATAGGAAGCTCTAGAAATAATTTACATATTTTTGTTATTATTCAATGAATATATTTTACAAGTGCCTTCTATGTGTCTGACTGTATGCAAATGCAATATATTTACCACAAAAAAAGCATTTATATTTATCACAAAAAAGCATTAACAAGTTTATAAAATACTGAAAACAAAAAAAAAGCAATGAGACAGAATCAAAAATAAAATACACTATCAAAGCAGAATGGGAAACTACAAACACTACTGTGGGGGAGCAAAAGGAGGTGACATTTGCCTTGGATCTGGAAAATATTTAATATTTCAGGAGGAAACTCAAGTCATATTTTGAACTGAGAGAATAATATCCAAAAGACAAGGAAACTCAAACTACTTTTGTGAAATTAAAGTCCTACTAATATTTCAATCTAAATGTTCCTCAGGTATCTTACAGTAACTTATTCAAAATTAAACACAGTTTTGCCTTTTACTTTGGTTTTATATATGTTCTATTTGTTTTCCGATTTTTGGTTTTGCTTTCTCTTTGCCCAGAGATATAATGCTACAATTTAGCCTTAATAGACAGACAGAAAATTGTTTTAGATGAAATAAGGAAGGAGTAAACAAAAGTATTTGTTCTACATTCTACGAACATTTATTTTGACAACAAACGCCTAATGCGTCATAATTGAACTCACAGCTATCGATTATGTGTCTTGGTTTATGGTCAGCAAACAGATATTCTATTACTAGAAATTAGTGTTCAAGTGTTGCCAGACAAAAATAAACATGAAAAATGAATGAAATCATTTTTAAAAACTGGACCTTTGTAATGTCGCTGTGATACTCCTCAATCACATTCTATTAATGAATGTTTAAAAGTGTATATTTTAAGAATGATGTTTATAAAGGACTACTGGTAAGTTATTTCCTATGAAAAATATATTTCCATTTAGGACAAATATTTACAATTATAGTAAGACAGGAGGAGAAAAAGAGTAAGCAGGAAAGGAAGGAAAGAAAGAAGAGAGGGAGAAAAGAGAGAGAATGAGAAAGGGAAAAGAAAGGGAAAGAGAAAGGAGCAAGCTTAAGAGACGGGGAACAGCGGAATGAAATGAAGAACTGTAGCAATACCATACGAAGGAGAATTATGGCTTTGGCCAAATTAGTGTCTAGAGATGGAAAGAAACGTATGGCTATGGGAAACATTTAAGAGAAAGAATCAATAGTCTCTGAGATATATTTAGAGGCTAGAAAAAGAAGAAGAACTCTGCAATGACAGCCTCTCCTTTCACTCCTGGATGCATGTGGTGTGGTGACCTGAGGGAGTCACTGGGGGAAGAATAGGTTTAGAAGCCAAAAAGTAGGAGAAAGGAGGAAAGTTGGGAGATGACTTCTGTTTTGAACATTTTGGAGGATCTGTAAAGTCATCCAAGTGTATAGTTGGCGTAGGCATTTTCATATTTGTGACTGCAGCTCAGAACAAATTATTTGACCATATGGAGAGGTTTGGAGAATATCAACACATATTTGATTCTATAAGACGTGAGGTGCTCCAAGGGCCCTGAGGAACACCAGAGGATAAGGAAACCAAAGAAAAACTAAGAAGCCATCAGAAGGAAGAGGAAAACCGAGAGACTAGAATTTCAAAGCAACTAAGAGCAAGGAGTGTTATAATGACGGTGATCAGTACTTACGATATTCATGAAAACTCACTTACTAACTGGATTGAGGAACAAGGAACTGCTTAGTTAACTTTGCAAGAGAAGTTCAACTGAAGACAAAGCAAACTATCCCGGCTTAAAGAGTCAATGAGATCCCAATAATGAAGCATTAGAAAACCAACTAATGTAATTCAATACATTAACAGATTAAAGGAGACACATCCAGAAGAAATTTTGATACAATTCTGCATCCGTTTACAAATATTCTTAGCAAACTGGGAATCAAGTGAAATACTCTTATTTCCTGACAAAAAAAAGTCAAAAAAAAAAAAAAAACTTAGAGCAAATTATAGCTATCAATGATACATTGAAAACTTTCTCCCTGAGTTTAGGACTAAGTTAGTGGTAACCATCTTACTAGGTATATTTTTTAAAGATTTCTACTAATCAAAGTAAGGCAGGAAAAATACATTTTAAGAAATTATAGGCTGGATATGGTGGCTCACCCCTGTAATCCCACCACACTGGGAGGCCGGGGGCAGGTAGCTCACTTGAGCCCAGGAGTTCAAGATAAGCCTGGGCTACATAGTTTAAAATTAACTGAGATAATTTTTAATCTTCTAAACTCTGCAAAGATCATTTGCATTTCTTCATACCATCAACAGTTTCAGTCTGAAAAGACCTTCACTTTTTTGCCCATATAATACATATCGAATATAATCAAACATTCCACAGTTTTTAAAAATTTAAACCATGATCACACTCTTTTTCTCATTTTAGGTATGTTATATGAGAACATTAAGTTCTCTGACTGTGTCTTTGGATATATCCAATTTTCCTGCTCGGTATCTTAATTATACACTGTCGTCCAGTCTAAAGCAACTTCCTCCAATATCATATCAGCCATCCCTCTCTCCATGAAGACCAGCCCTGCTCCTTTTCCCTAGTCCGGTCACTCAGTATTTTTTCTTTTACAAAAGCTATGGGCTGTACTTTTCCATGTAGGTTGATAGGTAACAAGATAGTTTCTCCTTCACTATTATGCAAACACAGACCCATATTGTTACTCTTTTTGCATTTTCTTTGCCCAACGAATTTCCATCTGTATCTTTAGCTGTGGAAGATCTAGAGGAAGAATTTACAGATTTTAAATACTAAAATTCAAACTAAAACTCTCTTCATCCAATTATGTGAGAAAAATATTGGTCATAATCTGATTCAGAATAGGGGGAAGAGGATCTGTGGCATGCCTTTCTTTCAATGGGCAGAGTAGTGGTTTGACCACTTACAAATATACCTAATTGTACCATACTGTAGCTCTTATTCTCTGTTTTGTCCACAGGTACCAGGGGAATCTATACCTGAAGCATTACTGGAGTCAAGATATAAAACATCTAGGTTCCCTTGTCTAAGAACTGAACTGCAAAGAAAATGTAGTTTGCCAGAACTTGCCCTTCATGTTATTGTAAAGGATGTTGGTCCTGATTAGACTGGTTCTTGTCAATGTGAGGGTAGTAACTGATAGTCTATTTAGTTTCACTTGCCCAATTATATCTCTTTTGAAATACCTGAAAGTTCTTAGAAATGAACCAAGAAATTAGTTGAGAAGAAACCAAATGATATCCAAGGGGGAAATCGTAAACAACTTTAGGGATTATCTTAGTCTATTTGTGCTGCTATTACAGAATACCACAAAATGGGTAATTCATAAAGAAAGGAAATTTATTTCTCACCATTTGGGATGCTGGGAAGTTCAATATCAAGGTGCTGGCCTCTGGCAGAGGTCTTCTTGCTGCATCATTCCATGGCAAAAGGGCAAAAAGAGGGAGACAGAGCCAGGGAGCAAACTCACCCCTTTAAAAGAAACCCACTCATGTGATAAGAAACCCACTCATGTAATAACAGCATGGATCCATCTATGAGGGTGATGCCCTCATGACCTAACACCTCTTAAAGGTCCCACCTCCCAATACCTCCACACTGGAAATCAAGTCTCCAACATGTGAACTTTGTGGGACAAATTCAAATCATGGCATTTCACCCCTAGGCCCCAAATTGTATGTCCTTCAGACATGCAACGTATGTTTACTCCAATCCAGTAGCCCCCATATTGTAACTCGTTCCAGCACCAACTTAAAAATCCAAAGTCCAGAGTCTCCTCTAAGCCATATATGGATGAGACTCAAGGCACAATTCATCCTGAGGCAAATTCTCCAGCCATGTGGAATCAAAACAAGTCAACTACTTCTGAAATTTAATGGCGGGACAAGCATACTATAGACATTTCCATTCCTAGAAAAAACAGGCAAGAAAAGGGTAATTGGTCTTAAGTAAGTCAAAACCCAGCAGGGCAAACCATATTAAATCCTAAGGGTTGAGAATAATCTTTGACTCCATGTCCCACCTTCTATACCCACTGGGTCAAGTATTGGACCCCCAGTTCCCCAGGCAGCCTCACCTCCACAGCTTTGCAGAGCTCAGCTCACTCCTGAGCAGCTCTTACAGGTTGGAGTTTTGTGCCTGCAGCTCTCCCAGATGGTGTTGTGAGGAGCACAGGGCAGTGAATGCTGAGGTCTTTCAGGCACCTCTCTGGAAGCCTTGCCCTTAAGGTCCTAACTTGCCTCAAAAATCTCAAAAATGTCTTTGAGGTCCTTCCCCCATTGTCTTATGAATAGAACCTGTCTTCCTTCTTGCCAGATTAATCTCTTCAGCAAATGAGCACTTGGCCACACCCTTCTTATTCTCTCCTGAGCTTCATTTTTTATTCTTTATATGACCAGGCTGAGAGTTTCCCAAATCTTTCCATTATTCTTCACATTTCATTGTAAATTCCATCTTTAAATCATTTCTCCCTCCTCACATTTTGCTATATGTGGTTGAAA